TAGCCCTAAAAGGACCATCACCAAAAGGATCCTCGAACATCTGCAAGAAAAAACACATATTTCATTAAGTTATATGTGGAAGGGCAGGATCATATATGTTGCAACACAAAACAGATGGTTAAGACATCAAATGTATTGTCTTATCCACCTGGTTAGAACCAGTAGATACTGATGATGCTTCCCCAAACGTGGTCTCAGTACCAGTGGTCCCAGATGGATTAACCTCGGAAGCACTCGAAGCTGCAGGTACAAGGGCTAATGCATTGGAGAATGGATCACATAAAGAACCAAGTAAATCCATTTCGCCGCCAGAAGTAGTTGACACGGGACCATTTGATGGAACTGGGGGCGCTGCGCATACAGGAGAAAAGTAACTTGCATTAGAATGGTGAACAAATCATCTTGTTGCAAGTACTAGTAAAATTAGCTTGAATACACAACAGAGCAATTTGCTTGTGCTCTATAAAGGAAATCTGAGCATCTTTCATTAAATTGCTACACCTTACAATCTTGTGCTCAGTACTGATGAAACTGGTTTATATACATGCACAAAATACAGGACATTGATCCTTAAAGTCACTCAGTTCCAATGCAAACTTCAGGTTGGTATTAATTATGCATTAAGGCTCTTTGCAGAGGGTATCCTCAAATAAGATTCTTTTTCTGCTGACAGAACTCAAGTTAAAGACTGATAGGGCTTTATTAAGATGAGAAGATAAAAGGTGCATGTAAATGAAGTGGCCATACGTTAATTTTGGTTTCTAAGGAACAGAAATTGAGTGAAAAGGTGGATCTTAAAAGATATATACTGTAATAATTCTCCTTATGCAAAAAGATGGACCATCTTAATCGTACAAGTTATACCTGTACCAGCACAGCCTATGTCTAAAAACATCCTGTGTGTTTTAATTTTCCTTCCTAAAACAAACATGCAATTTCCAACTTCAGCCAACTCTACCAAAAATGTTTTCACACATTTGAATTATCTAATACTTCTACCAAAATCATTACTTTTAGAGTCTGGTTGGTCCCAATTGTTTATTCAATCAAGCAACACTTCCTGCCGCAAGATTTGACCGGCAGATAAAGTGCAAGTTACTTTCTCAAAGTACCACATTCAAGGAAATCTAGTTACTGAAGACAAAATGGAAAACCAGTATCGACTCAAACATCAAGCACTAATTTGGCAGTTACTCCTTAGTGAGGGTTGTTTTACCTGCTGTAAAAGATGCACGGGGATCAAATTCATCAAAACTCTCAGCAACCGTGTTTTCTGGTGGTGGGGCAGTAGCTGCTGCTGGAGATGGTGGTGAAGCAGTAGCTGCGGCTGGAGCTGGTGGTGGAGCAGTAGCTGGTGCAGGAGCAGGCACAGTGACTGGGCTCGGACTGGCACTTGCATGAGGAGAAGAAGATTTGGGCGCAGATGCTGAAGAAGTTTCTACATCCCTTTTGACATATGATAATAACATCAATATAAAAATTTCAAGAAAATAAATGAGGAAAAAAAGATCCTTTTTCACAACTATTACCTTTCACTGTGTGTTGGGCTTCGTGAACCACCAACGGCTTCCTCATAACTAGGAGGTGCACTAAGGTTCTGCTCAGAAAACCTCCTTTCAAGCGGCCTACTCACAACAGTTGAATCAAACATGTAAACCTTGGCAAATAAATAAGAACATTTTCTATAAAAGAATACTTAATGACGAAATTATATTAGAATAATATTAGAGCACAGTAATAATACGATCCATCCTGAGAACGAGCCTCAGCCCTAGCACCACTTCCTTTGTTGGTCATGATGATCAAATTAATGTCACAGGCAAGGATCAAAAACTTAATAAATGTGCAGATAATACACATCAATTTCAGAGTAATGGCAACAGAAATTACCCTGGTTTGCAGAATTTTATTCATTTCTATTAAAATCATCTAACTAGTAACAAATTACAAAAACATGTGCCTATTTAAACAAAAGGTGAGAAGACAAACCTAGAAGAATATTGACCATCGTCATCATTGGTGTGATCCCTGTACCGGTCAGAACTTCTACTTCTTGATCCATAATTATAATCATCAGTGCTCCGACTTCTTCCACGATAATCATCATCTTTGTTTCCATCTCGGCTGCGGTCATCATAATCTCTACCATAGCGATCCCCATCACGGCTGTTTGAGTCTCCATATCTGCCATTTTTGTCTTCATCTCTGTAGCCCCATTCCCTTTCCCTCCCATAACCATTTCTTTCATCATCTCTTCCTCCATAACGATCCTCATCAAATCTGTCACCATATCCTCCTGAACCTGATTGTGAACCAGGGCGATACATACCGCCAGCTGACGTGTTGCGGAATCTATCAAGATGATAAAATTTGTCAGAACACGTTAGCTTTGTAGACAGTACCACTAAAATAAGAAATTAAATGGCTACGGTTGTCATCAGAATATAGTCATACGTATAGCTTAGAACAGTCATAGGTATAGCTAATTTTTTGTGATACTATTGTATCAATAAGAAATTAATTCCTTAAACTAAAAAAAAATGAGCACTTCAAAATGAATGTAGACTTCATAATATTTGTGATGTCCCTAAATATAGATAGCTAGAACTTGAGCTTTTTAACAAGTTGATTTTAATACTCTCCCTCTCTCTCCCTTTCGAGAAGTACCAGAAATTATTTTCATCCCTTAGTAACAGACAAAGCTTGTCGAAATGCACTTCTAAAATGTTGATCTAATGATATCTGACAGGCAAATTCAAGTACAAGGCAAGACTCCTTAAAATATCTGAAATAGCATTCAACTCACTTTCCAAAAGGGACCTGTTAACTCTCAATGGGTACATCAGAAAACAGAGGTACTTATATAAACAGGACATCACACAAAGACAAATATTGGATACAGAGCTGGGTGCACAAGTAGCATGTGAAAAAATCTTATTTTTCAATTATGGTACACTTGAATTAGGCATTCCAAATATTCACATGCTTGAGCATACATAGCGTGTAGACATTAGACAGGATGTTTCCTCTCAAATATAGAAAGCTTGAGAAAATCTTATTTTTTTAGTAATATATGTTGGTTTGGATAAAACACTATCAAAAATGTAGACATACTCATACACAGTTTTATGTCAAGACAATCTCACTTGAACCAAGGAACTCATTGGTACCGGGGCCAGTAAATTGAAGTACAGAAACAATATTTAACCAATAAAATTAACTAGGGAGAGAATATAGAATATCATGCTGGCAAATAAAGTAAGATGTAGTCTTAAAAAGGAATGCTTATAAAGGGGATAAAGTACAACTCCTTTATATTTTTAAAAAATCCTTTTTGTGGGGGGGGAAGGGGTGTGGTTTGTCGAAGGCGAAAAACGCAAGAAGAAACCTTTTCTTGTCGGGGTTTTGTGCAAGAAAATGCAACGAAAGCATACCCTAGCGTAAAAAAGAAGAAAATAATTTTATACAAGAGACAAACTCAAAAACAAACAACAATGATATTGTATGCAAATTAACATATTATTTTGACGGCGATTTTAACTACTGATGCCCTTTAAGCGAAGATCAAGAGCCCCACTTGAAGGTTTTGTTGAGCCGAGCTCCTAGCCTGAGCTGATCTAGGTGGAGGGTTAAAGAGCATATGAAGCAGCTGTTTGACAACACCGCATGGAAGAAGGGAGGGGAAGGGAGGGGAAGGGAGAAATGTGAAGTCTAGAATTCCTAGTTGTGGCAGAAATACATGCATGACTGGATACAGAAGAGACGGATATGACTGAAGCAGAATTTTTGTAGAAAACCAAGTGAATAAGTTACTTACTTGTCCCTATTAGAAGCTGCCTTTTGGCGTACTTCCTGAATTCTTTCCTTATCATTAACAAGAACCACAAGGCTCTGAGATTTCTTTCTGACATTGCTTCCCTGGTCTCTCCCACTGGAGTCGATATATTGAAAATCAGACAGTGTCTGGGCAAAGAGAAGATGAAGACAGTACTTTATTGTTTTCCCCAGATTCTACAATTTGGCAAAATATCTCATAAGACTAAAAATTTAACAAGAATGAAGAAACTTACAGATATTTGGTAAGCATGTTCCCGTATATCATCTACGACACGTTCAGACCCATGGGCTACCAAATATTCCAAAACGGTTAAACCCTAAAATTCATAGTCAAACATTAGATACAGGATTTATGAAGCACTTTTGCATCTAGTGTTTATTAAAATGCATGAAAGCAAGCAAGCATGTTGTATGTATCTTTGTCTAACAAAGAGGGCAGAGTAACCTTGAACAGAGAAAGATTCAAGAAACATTATCAGACATAATAAGTCCAAATTTAGCTAGAAAGAGTAAGCAAATTCAAGCAGCACAAACCTTGTAAACATGACGCCAATTTTTTCCAGTATCATTGATACGCTTCCAGACCACAGACATAATCATTTGGTACTCATGACTGCAAATTTCAAAAAATTAAATCTCACATATAGATAATAAATAAATAAAATAATTTTTTATATATATCGACTAAGATGACTTAAGCTTACTAGTTCCTTGAAGCCTGAGCAATATCTGCAAGAAGTGATCCATGGGGACCCCAGGGCTCATTGCTAGTTGCATCTAGAACCTTGAAAGAAACCAAATAGAAAGATAATCAAATCATTGAGAACAGTATCTTGACCTTCTACACATTTGGAAACTTCCGTTCTACCATCTAACATATTGAACACCAAAAATATTGAACACGAGGTCCGCCAAAGAGAGGAGAAATGAGATTTTCATGCGTCCACTTTGAACACTTATTCAGCAGCAAACAAATGTGCATACAAATAGGCTTTTGGGGCCTTAGTGCGGCACTGAAATAACCTTACATTCCATAAGGTAAGAAACCCAAGTAAAGAAAAATAACTTAAACACAACCACAAACCAGAAAGGCTACCAATGCTGGAACTAAGGAAGAGTCAATTATTGCAGAAGACTCAAGTTACGTAAAGATCTTTTCCTTCTCCTTAATCCTATCATTATACCAATATGTGTTCCATAAACTCAAAACAGATTTGATACTGCCATATCTTTACTACTATTGGCAAGAAGAGAGCAATCAGCCAAGCACTCATGGTTTTAATACTGTTAAAGCTATTCACATTATTTAAGTGGCATAAAAGAGAATCGTCTCACAGTTTCAGAAAAACAAACCATATTTTCAGAAAAAAAAGAATCATCTCACAAGAAAGGCTAGCCATGGTGACTAGGTATGTTTGGTGCATAACTAGAACAAGCACTTCAAAACAATATGCTCTACTTGAATGAAGGCATGAAACTCAGCTCCAGGCAACATGCCTCCTCAGCTATGTTGCCCAAACTCTTCAAAAATGCCAATGGGTGCATGTCGGATCCTCCAAAAATAGTGTACTTCTGGAGGATTCGACACGGGGTGAGGCAGCATTTTTGGAGAGTACGAGCAACATAGCTCTTCAGCAAACACAAGTATGTGCGTCACTTTCAAAGCCATCACCTCTGTTCCATGAATAAATAAAGCAAACTCAAAGTCTATCTGTGAGAGAGGTCAATAGGACTATCTAATATCTATATTAGTTCTTCACCTTGGAACATCTCTTTGATAAAAAGGTTTTGACCATCTCTTTTTTGTAGTTACTCCCCATGATTTCTTCTTTTATATTTCCAGAGGCTTATGATGTTGCTTTGCATACATATTTACTAAAACATTTCTCAAAGGATCAGAATCAAAATGCACTTCTTCGACGTGTAGGTTGGTGCACTCTTTGCCTACAAAGTAGTTAGTTGCAACCTCAAGCCTCACACTAAAGATTTGATGTATTCTTAATTTTGAATCAGTGTACATACTACATTATAGTACATGTACTTATCTAAGTGTTTCAAAAGTGGGATAATGTTGACGTAGGTCTATCCCTGTCCTAGATTGACCTCAGTTAAATAAAGTCTCTAACTTTTGCTTAAAACAATATATTTTGGCACTGCTGGAATATGAAATACATTGCACTGACAAAAAGACACAAAAGAATAAAGAAATGGACAAATAGAACTTACTTTTTGTTCTATTGAAGGGACTTTAAGAACCTTTTTATTCACTCCTCTTTTGCTGCAAGGAAAAAGTGAAAGCAACAAATGGCATATAAACAAAAGATTCAAAGTGAAAAAATCAACTATTTGCTTGGACTCTTCAAAAATACCCTTGGATTCGTGTTTGAGGATCCAACATGCGAGTTGTGGTATTTTTAAAGAGTTGGAGCAACATAGCAAATCAAAGACTAAACATCAACAAAATCAATCACGTGCTATTTTCTCCATACGTTACGAAAATTCGCAGATAGAGATATGAAAAACGCCAAGTGACTAGTCTGGCAGAGATATTTCTACACCAGTTACTTTGAAAAAGTGTAAGATTTGAATTGGCAAAAAACTTACAGGTCCCGCACGGTTTGATCAAATGCTTTCTTCATTTGGATATTGTATTCTTAACCCCCAATCACTCAAGTGATGTCTGCAGGAACAAAACAAAACCGATTATATCCACGTGTCCCTTTATCCTATTACTATCACCGAACACATTCAATTATTTCATTTTCCAGCATAACGCCAAAGAACCAAATGAATCCTTCTATATTGGCATACTAAATCAATCAACCAACTACACCTCAATCTCAAATTACTTAAGGATCAACTATACAAAATGTTTATTTCCATGAATCAACAATCCCAACAATTTCAAAAATCCCATTTCGCGTAAAATCATAACCAAACCACTCAACAAGCATAAACCCAGAATTCCATTGACCTAAATATTCAGAATGAACAATCGCCAACAATTCCAAAAAAAATCCCATTTTGCGGAAAATCATACACAAAGCACTCAACAACCATAAACCCAGAATTTCAAAACAAAAAATAAACATAATTCAGGTACCAACATAATTTCACACTTTTCATTTCATAAACAATTCAAATCAGCGGGAACAAACACAACCTAAATAACACAAAAACTCACAAATGTAAGCTAAACCCATTTCAATAAATCAACTAAATAGCTCAAATTACAGATCTAAATCCAAATCACATCAAAAACATAGTAATTGATTACGAAAATTGACAAAAATGATCTAAAAATACCAAATGAAAAGATCTAATCGAATGAATATGAGATCGAACCTGATCAGATCTGAGATGTGAAGATGTAGAGAGAGAAAGGGAGAGATATAGAGAGGGAAAAAATTTGAGAAAGAGAGAGAGGAGCTGTCGACTGTTGAAGACAGAGAGAAAATGGAGAAAAGGAGGGTGTAAAGGAAAGAGCAAAGACAGCGCACCTTACACGCAGGAATATCACGACTATATATTCTCTCCGTCTCAATTTATCTCGCCAACGTATCGAGCACCTATCGAGTTTCAAAATTTATTTTCTATCCTAAATTTTCTAAAAACTTTTTTTTTTATGTCTTCGAATTATCAAAATACTTAATTTTACCTAATGTAAACTTTATTTTAATAAAAATTTCATAATTAAATTTACGATTTAAAAATTAAGTTATTTCATTTTAAAATTTGAATTATATCAAGTAAATTAAGACAGAATATATTGGATGTGGACCAAAAAGAAAACATATATTATACTATATCCGATACTCATATTAAAATCTGACTGAATTTAAATTTGTGTCTTGATTTGATTTCCTAATCGCTACTTATTTTTTCTCTCTTTTTTTCCTTTTCTTTGAAGGTTTTCTTCCTCATTGTATATGTGAAATGATTCCAACTTATCAAAGAATATAAAAGTATTAGTAAGAAGAGTGACTGATTGACGTTGAAGAAGTAAATATCGAAAATTCTAGTAAATGACTAGTACTTATATCTCCATTTTTTTCACTATTGTGTTACTATTACTATTCATATTTTTATAAAATATTGAATTTTTACTTTTTATTTCTGGAGTGAAAGATTTTTGATTATCAAAAATAAAGTTTTTAATTATCAAGGCAAAAATAAAATCTAGTAGACTTTATTGTTGTTACAATTGTGTTTTTGTGAATAAGGTCAACCACCAACAATTCAATTAAAGTTTATATTTATTGGTTTCATTAAAGCCAAAAGGGGTGAGACAAGACTATTCTTTTTTGGCTAAATTCAATTTTTTGAATCATAGTATATCATAAATTTTACTATAAGATACACTAAATTCATTATATTGATCATAAAATTATGAACATAATAGTTTTTAAATAGGGATATTAGTTTGAAGTAAAATATTCTTTAAAAAACTAAATAATTTTATAATTGCATTTATATGTTCCAAAACAAAAAGATGATATTCTTTATTAATTGTGCTTTTATATAGTTATTCATAAATATTAATTCACAATTACTAATAATAAATAGTATTTACATTTACTATGGTTTAAATCTATCCTTCTTTAACTACTCCTAACGTAAATTAAGTCTATATAACATTAATTGATTTTAATAAACGGATTATTTAATTTGAAATATTTCAATCTAAGAAGAAGTTATATACTTTTATATGAAAACCTTTATGAATTTATTATAGTCAAATAATTTAATGATGTGAGGATGTATGTTAATTAATTACCAAAAATCGTTTGATATGTGAAATAAGATGTAAATCACAAAATTAAGTTCAAAACAAAAAAATTATATATTTGATTGATAATATAAATTATTAAAAATCTTACATTGACTTATTCTATGTGACTTTACATTAATTTTATCTTAACTTTTCAGGTAAACTAAATTAATTCAAAAACTATAACTTTAAAACTATTTAGTTCAAAAACTATATAATATTTAAAATTTATATGGAAATACATATTATTTATTTAATTGACCTAGTATAAATAGTAAATAAATAGAGGATATTGAAAAGCAAATGGAATATAGAATTAACTTAATTATATGGTGGTGGTTTTATATTTATAAAAAAGAAGACAATAAAAAAAGAAACTTAATATGAAAGGAAAAGTGATGTAAATGATGTTTATGTTATTCCTTTTAAAAAGCTCTATGTCGCTTATTTTTTAAAATAATAACATTTACTATAAGAAATTAATTATTAATTTTTATCATTTTTATTTTTGACGATTAATTTATTTAAAAAATATTTTAAAATAAATTTAATTTTTAAAAAATCCCACACTTTATAATAGTCATTCTATATTATTGACATGATCTTCGAATCTAATTGGTACATGAAAATAAAATGCAATTTTTTGACATAATATGAATATAATAATTTTTTTAAAACATGTGTTTTTCATATATATATAGAGAGAGAGAGAGATAGTCTTTATGAGAAAAAAAAAAAAACTTAAGGATTGATGTGACTTGTGTTTGGTACATATAAAATTTTTATTTAATAATAAAATAAAATATTTTCTTCTTTCTTCAGGTTTAATCGGGAAAAAAATTGGTTAAAAAAATGAAAACAATAATTTTATTAATTAAAGTTGGAAAATTATTAATTAATTACTTCCACCTACCCATCGTCCCCCCCCCCACAGTGAGTTGTCGGTGATTTTATTTATTTTCTTTTTTTGTGATTTAGCTTTATGTTTTTGGATTTTATTGTTTGAATATTTTCTAATTTTTAAATATCTATTACAATGATATCGATATATTTATAAATAAAATACGACTTATAAAGGGAAATTATCAATGAAAGAAGAATAGTGTTACATCTAAGAAGATAAATGGAATATTAAATTTCACAACGATAATAACATAATTAGTAAAATCCGTATACTAATTAATTTTTTTACTAATGTTTTCTAAGTTTAAAGATTTTTTTTTAACTCAATTGGGGTAATTGTAAAAATGCAAAATTCATATTCTTTCATCCTCCCACAATATTGGAAAAAATTAAATAAATTGAACTATAGAACAAATTAAAGTTTGAATCTTTACTCATTCGAGAATCTTGATTTATATCAATTTGGTACGAGAAAAAGTAATTTTATCGTTAACTTTATATAATTAATAAGAATTTAAATTATATACGTTGACGATATATAATTTTTCTTAATACTATTTATATAGCTTAATTAGTTATAATAAGTTCTTACTCTATTTATCATGTTACCTAGCTTGATGGAAGTTACACGTCAAATTTGTCTTATGTTGACACCACTCTTTATGTATATTTTAAATCTAAAACTGATAAGGATATGTTAGATTTCGAACGCTATTAAAACAAAAAAATTAGAAAGATAGGACAAAATATGGACAGAGAAATTAGAAAAATTGAACGAAATAGCTTACCTTGAATACAAAATAAACTCTATCAAGTTTCTCTATGATACAATTAAGAGATTCTCTGGAAGAAATACGAACTTTAATTTACACTTTTTGACATAAGTTGAGATCAAGTTTTAGCCAACATCACCAAATGATCAATGGCAAAAACTCTCCATAGTAAAGCATTAAAAGGAAAAACTCCTTTGCTATATTAAAGAAAATGTCTTCATGTTCTCCTCTTTGAACTTGCAAGCTCTTGTGATGATGATGACGACGACTTTTGATCAAATTGAGATAAGTTCCTAAGTCATGTACACACGAAGGGTTTTGCATGTTAAAGAAATCTAACAAGATTTCAACTCCAATATGAGTATAACATGAATAACTCCAGGGCACCTCGTATCTCCCACCAAAAACCCTAAAGTTCTCGTTTAGAAGAACACCAGGAAGCTTTGTGATAGGGTCATTCACGTTCACGATTCTCAATACTTTTACACCTAACTCTTCACATCTCTCCTTAAACCCCGAGTTGCCAACTCTTGGACCTCCAAAAGAAAATACTGTAACTGATATGTTGCTACTTTCTGGCTCTGATACTCGCTCTGATACTGGCTCTGATACTGATGATTTATATAGTTGATCACGTCTTGTTGTGGTTGCATGTTTGTTCAACCCTAATTCCGCGATGTCATAAGCTAGTAAAAGGGCCAATGCACTCCCCATGCTATGTCCACCAATAGTTATACTCATTTCTTCGTTTTTATACATATTTGTAACTCTTCCTATCTCAGAAAGTAATTGTTCACGACAACTTCTTAGACCAAACCTTTCACCCTCCTTCGAGGTATACAAACTCAAAAATCCAGCTTCAACCTTAACCTCAGGCCTGAGGTTACTTGGATCAAGACGGGCAGGAGATAACGTGCTCATCAAGTTAGCTACCCATTCAGGACTAGTAACCGTTCCTCGAAACGTGATGAGCACGTCTCTCCTGCCCAATCTCTTAGTTTCTTCATCATTTGAAACTGCAACATAACCTATCCATCTACCACTACTAGATGGTGATGAATTTTGACCAATTGATAAAACATTTATGTTTGTAGTGGCATAAATGTACTTTGTTATTTCATAGCCTGATTTTCCTAACCCTACTTTACTTAACATACTATTTTTTCCATACTTACAATTTAAGTATCTTTTTGAATTTGGATCAAGATCAAAAGCATTGTAACATGCAACAACAAACTCACCATACCTAATAATCTCCTCTTGTAGAAGTGAATCCAATGGATTCACTAAATTTTCCCAATTTCTTGATCCTTGAATTTCTCTCCACATGGTAGCTAATTTATTATTATTAGTATTAGTAGTATTAATATTACTACTACTATTACTATGACTAAATGTGGTGGTAGGCATAGTACAAGCCAATAGTGTCAATCTTGATGTGGATAATTTCACCTCATTTCCTTTGACCAAACATGACTTAGGTAGAAACTCACTTGAAAACGTAAATATTTTCATATTTGGTAACATAACTTTTGTGGACGCTATGAAAAATAGTTGAGAGTTTCGAATATCAGATGGTTAAAAGATATTTGAAGAATCGAAGCGAAAGAATAAGAGAGAGAGAGAGAGTTGAGAGAGGTGTATATGAATTTTCTTTGATTCATATGTGTATATATATTTGAAGTGTGATGCCACGGCCGGTGTGGATAAGGGGGGGTGGGGGAATAAAGGCTTGTTTGGCTTGGAATTTTGACTGGAAAAATTGAGAATTCTATAATATATGATAAATTAAATTAAAGTGGTCGGTTATTTGTTTTATTTCAAATGAATTTATTTTTAAAAGTGTACTATTTACGAAGCTAAATGTATTGGAAAAATAAGTTGAAAAAAATTTATTAATTACTTTTATTAGGATAAATACTTAATGTCTTAAGACCTTTACATCCAAATGTCTCTTTGCATGTAAAAATTTAGACAAATGGCAAAACCACTTGTCATGATATCATTTTTTTCAACCAATATAAATCTTCACATTTTTTCTTTTAGGAAATTGTGAAAAGACCAACTTTCTGCATGGTCTCATCTTTTCATGAATTTTTTTTTCTTCTTATGGTTAAGTTATTATTTTGGCTTTATTATTATAGTTTCCGTTAATAACTTGCTGATGTTAATTAATTTGTTAGATTCTTATGTCCTTTATTCAAAATACAGAATATTTTATATCGTTGAGATAGTTTTTAGGATAATATCCAACATAATTCAAATATTAATTTTCTATGTTTAGGTATTAATATTTATCTTCCCAACAAAACATATGTAGTAATATTATATATATATATGATTGAATTATCGATGATTTTTTAAAATTGAAACAGTTTTTCACTTAGATATCTTAATTAAATTTTTTTTCAACCACCTCGTGTAATGTCCCATTGTGTATGACACATTTTAGTGATATGATATAGTGATGGTACATAATGTACTCAATATCTGTGCGGGAAAGATTCATTTAATCATTTTTATTTTATTTTATTTTTGCCTTTTTAAGTCACCATATCACCGAACATGAATTCCTTTCATGAAAAAATAAATTTGATGATGCTAGAGAGAAATTTTTTTCCTCCATGTCATTAAGTCATTGGCTACTTTCTTTTTTTTATTAAAATATTATTTTTAGAATTATTTTTAATTTACATACAACGTGTTTTTATTTAATTTATCACTTTAACACGTCATCAATAAATGTATTACATATATCTTATATATTTAACTAATTATTAAAAAATATTAAAATAATACAATACAATATGATATAGAATATTAAAATAATCAAACTTAATTAAAATATCTAAGTAAAAATTGATACTAATTTTACGAAATAAATTAGACCTATATATTTATGCAACATATATACACATAAAAGAACCTTCTAGTTAGTAGGTAAGTTATCGCAGAGTCCTCTTGTTGGCAATTGGATATTAGAAATACAACTTGTTACCAATAAATGATGATCACAGTCATATAATAAAAGTAGGTCATATTATTAAATTGTGAAGTTAATATATACAATTGATCATATTGGAATTTATTATTTTTTTAAATTGTAAAGTAATATATACAATTGATCATATTGGAATTTATATTTACGTAAGAAAAACTTTTATTAGTGATAATGATAGCCGATGCAAAAATATTTTAAATATATTTTAATAGGATAATTTTTTTATAGAAAAAAGGACAGATATATTTCTGAGCTATCGTAAATGGTATGTAGATACCTTTCGTGATGTTTTTGGGACATTGATATCCGTGCCATTAAAAAGTTAGAGTACATATCCCCTTCACTCTAACGAAAGACTAAGTAGGGACAAATAACACAATCTTATCCCGTAATTTGGTATTTAGTAAATGTCGGGACGGTGGATATGATTATAGCATGTGTATGTCCGTTAGTATAAAGTGTATATATGCACTAATTTAAAGACGGCAGGAGCAACAATATCTCAAAATATAACAAATGATATATGCATACTATTTACGATAGTTCGAAATATATCAATCTTTTTCCCATTTTTATTACCAATTTCCATGTTGAATTCAGACCTTTCTAATTTCTTTTCTTTTTTTTTCTTTGTCAACATTTTCTATGGAACAAATATGAATACTTTTCTAGTTTGGTTCTTTTCATTAGATTTTTTTTGTTATCTTTTTTTTATTCCTTTATGATATTTATCAAAGAAAGTTATAAAAAAAGTTTTATATTTCTCCTATTCTATCGGAAACCGTTTTTGAAAGTTTTTTTTTAAAGAAAATCAATTAGACAAAAAGTGGTGTCTTTTGCTAATTGATTATATGAGATAATTCACGTAAAAATTTGCATTTACTTTGTGATTCATTCTAATGAAAGACTAAATAGGAACAAAAAAAATTTAATTTTATTTATTAATTTGATATTTAATAAATATCACATATGTTTATAAGATTATGACAAGTGTATATCTGTTAGTATAAAAAGTATATATACTCTAGTTTTTAAACGATAAAGACATCAATATTCAAAAATATAACAAAAGATATTTACATATTATTTACGATAATTCAGCTACTTTTCCATTCAAAATATATAATAAGTTTCTAAAGAAATCTAAATGACACATTGACACCTTAGGCAAATTATTATAATTATATCATCATGCACATGATAAAAGGTGACATAATTTTCCACTTTTATTCCTTCTTGAATATTGCTTATGTTTGCAAATTCACGTGATTTCTTTTTAGTGTACAAATTTTATTTCTTTCTGAGATGAACTAAGGTCTTGTTTAGTTTTATTAATTATTTTTATAAGCATAGAAGAAAATAACTATTGAATCACTTATCATATTATTAATTAAATTAGTTCAGTTATAACTTATCTCGAGATAATTTATTTTTCAATCAAACAAGTCACTACTATACTAATCCTTTGAATCATAAATAGGAAAAAGGACCAAATTAATCACATAATTTTGCTAAGTTTTTTACAATTAAGAGCACTTGTCTCGAGTTCTTAATGGAGGGCAAACTATCATATACTTTTGAATGATTCAAGGATAGAATTTAATCGCTTTTCTTATTTAGTTAAAATAATATTTTTGAAATCTGCTTTGTTAGTTGTTGGACCTTTTTCCTAGTAGCAAAATCCGTAATAACAAAGATATTATTTAGTAAAAAATGTAATGAATTGAGTAAAACTAATTTATTTTAAATAATTTAGAGATATATTTGATCCTCTGCGATCGTGATACGTATAGTTTGTTAAGCTTTTTTTTTTATTTAAAATGGAGGGAAAATGTCCTCATCTAAATCAAACTTATATTTGTGCATGTGTATACTAGCCAAAGAAATTCAATTAAAAAACTTTTTTTTGGTCCATTTTTACTCGTTTTTAACTTTATTTTTGGAGCTCTAGTTTGAACATAAGACCATATAATAAAAAATGTTTTTGGTTTGTTTTCTTTTTCAACTTAAAAGTAAGCAGACAATAAAAATATTAATACTGTTTATGTACTAGAAAGTTTCAACAAGTAGGACCTCATGTTCTTTACTTTTCCTTCTTCCTTCACTCTTGTAGTAAAAATTTATCCACACTCAATAAAATTACGAAAAGTAAAAAATAATATGTTCATGACCAAGAGTTTAAACAAATACAACAATAGTTACGCCTCAATCTCAAACGAGATAAGGTTGGCTATATGAACTCTCATCGACAAATGTCGTGTGCTTATTGTTTTTCTTCAATAAGGTACTTAGTGTAGTCCAAGCTTATAAAGAAGACACCCTAAATGAGGTGAAACTAGTAAATAAGTTGTGAACATTATACAAAAAAATATGAAATCAATGTCAAGCACATAAATAGTGATACAAGTGTGACTTCAAGTATTTCCCTTCACTCAAATAATCCACAAAAAAATACACGACGAGAGCTTCGGAGAGCGTTTTTTACTCTCCTTCACTCAAGACTGGAACGATGAGTGGTTTCAGCTGCGCAAGGTACACGATTGCCCACCTATTCAAGAAAAAAAAAACACGAAACGATGAGTTTTCTTCTCATCGTTGAATGCTAAATCTCAATTTAACAACGAAAATAGCAAATAGAGAATTATAACTCCAGTACATGTAACTTGCAATAACGACTTCTACTACGATCAAACTTCTCTATAATAACATCGTTTGTCCTAATACATAACATGAAAGATTGGTTCCCCAGAAAATATGACTGTTATAGTGAAATGTTGATATAATCGAAACGTTAAACTCTAATGGTACTGTTGGTATGTACTAAAAGGTAGTCTTTCTTTCTTAAACACTGTGTACAGTCCAACACTCCATATAAAACGAACTGGAAGGAGTATTGAAAAAGAACAGAACCCGACCCCCTGTATTCTTTGGTAAGTCAAAAATAAAAACATTTCTTATCGTGAAAAAGGAAAAAAAGCATATATAGCAACAATAAAATTTCATCATTGGATCAGAAGCTTATCAAGGACAAGCAAAATTAGCACTCTCCGCTTAGCATTACTTCGCGTACATAAAGCAGGAGGACAAGGAGAAGGAGAGAGAGAGAGAGAGAGAGAGAGTATATGTATGTTTGTGTGAGCGTGAAGGAATGGTAGTTCCCACTTCCCATCCCGGGAAGTCTTGAGACGAGAATCAAGATGAATGGATGAAAATTAAACATGTTTCATCTTCCAATACAGAGAAGCAAAGTAGTTGACAGCCCCATGATTCTTGAAAAGAAAATTACAAAAATAATGAACCCACGAGAGAAAACATTGAAAATCGTTGCAAGTGCATTCATCTAATGACAATTAAGAGAGGTAATTAATGACATTGTACGAAGGAGGGAGATCTCTGTGTTTAATTTTTAGGATATGGTAACATGTTGACTCAAACCCAAACTGTAAGATTGGAGGTGGATGGTGCTTTCTAGTTGAGCTACCCTTTCTTGTCAATCAAAGAAGCATCAAAGTTTATATCTATGTTGCGCAGACTCTTCAAAACATCACTGGGGGCGTGACGGTCTGGCAGATCCTCCAAAAGCAATGCATTTTTGGAGGATCACAGGTGTGAGAACATTTTTGAAGAGTTCGAGCAGCATAGGTTTATATATATATTCCAGCACATCTCTAACACTCCAAAATGCAAAACTTCGGAAGTATGGAATACATATAGAAAATCTACATCACATCGATCCAAAAAGAAGCATTTCTATTTTTCATCTATAAGACAAAATTAGATAATTATAAAGATTTGTGAGGCTAGGATAGTATTCACAAAGCATAGTTGTTGACATAACAAATGATTTTTTTGGCAGAAAAAGTCAACTAGACACTTCCAAATATAGATTATATATCAACAAACCTGATCGAAAAAATTTAAGCCTCTGAGAGTAGGTTCAGATATAAAGCACGCAATTATGCATATATTTCATACTTTATGAGGAAGTCAAGCAGATGTAATAGCACAAGCACTATGTTCAACTAGTCAAGCAAAGCGTAAAATTCCTCAGCAAAAAGATAATCTTATAGGTATTGCACACAGATAATCTTATAGGTACTGTACACTTTGAATTAGTAATTTCTCTATTATATAATCCCTTTGAACATCAAATGATAAATTACAGGAAACATGACAAAGCAAATTCAGGGAAACATCTTACTACTACCAGGCTTCAAGTCAAACACATGAACTCATGATGTCATTTTTTGAGGAAATAGTATCATGTTATGTCTTATTTTACTTTACTTCGTACATGTTTGTGCATGTGTAGATTTGTAAGGGACACTCGTGTCTGTTTCTATGTGTGTGTGTGTGTGTGAGAGAGAGAGAGAGAGAGAAGAAGAAGGCAAACTCACATCATCCAACAGCATACTGTGGCCGTGATGATCAATGTCAAGTGTAACCTGCATCACAAAATTCAATTAGCTATTAGAAACAGAGACGAAAACTATTTCAGCGGAAAGACACTAGCTTAGAATTTAATGCATCATGGCTTTTATCCTGGAGATCTCAGTAGAGTAATTAAGACAAAATTAGCAAAACTAAACAGCGGACCGACAAAAATTGCAATTTGCATTTCAAGTACAATTGCATTTGTCTCTTTCGTCATCTAAACTGCCTGAATCATGAAACACTGTCCGAGTCAATTTAATTTTATAGCAAGATCTCCATGATACATAGTAATGGTAAAATTAGATAATCACTATCCATCGGATATAATAGTCATAACCTGGATATGAATCAAACACTAGAAAACAAAGAAGCCTGGATTAAAGATAGAACAGAAATAGCTGATAGCACTAACGAAGCATAACACAAAACACAATACTGACAACCCTTACCACCCACCCCAAAAGGATTACACATTTTCTCTATAGATGCATAACGAGGGAGGAGCTATCGTTCTGCTTACAGGTTCGGCACAACGCAGTAATTCAGCTCAATTATGTTTTGATATGTATAACTAACTTATTCAGAACCTGTTAAGCTTATCTTTTCTAGAATTCAAAATCCATACACTTAAAAGACCGTAGCTCCAGCCCTCAGAGCTCAAAAGCAAAGTTCTATTGCCAAAAAAATGTTCTTTTTCTTATACAACAAACTAAACAACTCCTAAAACAACTAGCAATGAAATCAAAACCACACAACCACATCAGTAATGCGGACTCTATATCAACAATCCAGAATTATAATACCATAAATCAAACTCAGCTTTCTATGCAAAAATTTCATCTTTTTTCCGTAAACAACCAATATAACAAACCCTAAGCAAGTTATAATAAGCGAATTTGAAGCAAACATTAAACAAATTTGACCATACAGATTAGTAGAAGGCCCTCTATTGCAGCAAATTCTGGCACATAGAGACGCAATAACACCCACTACCACAAAAATTAGCGTTGTCACCAAAAACCCCATTTTCGTCCCTGATCTCACAGTGCAAATGCAATCTGGGAAAAAAAAAAATCAAGTCAAAAATGGTAGAAAATTACATTAAATTTCACAAAAATTAGATTTTTTTAGCTGAAATTAATACCTTTAGATATCGATATTTGAGATTGAATTGTATCAAAATCTGAAGAAAAAAAAATCAATAATTTGTGTTGAATTTCTGTTAATAACAGTTCTTGATCTAACGATAGATCGATTTGGGACATTGGGCCAGTTCGGGTTTGTGTTTGGCCCAGTTGTATGAACACTTGGGCTTCCTTGGCCCATTTTAGTCCAAAAGGCCCACTCTAGAGATGAAGATATTCATAAAAACCCGATTTTTAGGATTATCATTCAAATCATATTCGTAGCGAGTAAAATTTACAAGTGTACACATTTTATAAAGTTTCATATGGTTGAAATTTCGGCATATATTACTGAAAATCAAAAGCTTAATTGTTTTTGTTAGAACTTAATACAATTATCATGAGTTACGACTGAAGTTTATTTTTATTTATACTATAGCTATTTTTGTTTGACATTCATGCATAAATGATTGAAGTTATTATTCATATGGACACATTTCAACAAAAGATACTTTATATGCACGTGAATATAATGTATTTTCATTATTTTTATGCGTGCAGCATTTCGTATATTCCTCTTAATCAAATCTGTAAAACTGAAGTATTTTCCTTTCTAAAGAGTGAGAGATCAGTCTAAGAACAATAGAAGGAGGATAAATCGATTTGAGATTTTATATAAATGTGAATATTTACATTTATTTATACGAGCATAATGTAAAATATTGCTATGTTTCGTAATTAAGCAAAATCTCGTTATTTTTCAGAAATAAAAATGTAAAAGATGAAACTTTTAGTTCAAATAAAGCCCAAACATTTCAAGTTGGATTAAGCCCAATTATTCAATCTTTCTCTATAAATAACGGAAAGTGCAAAACCCTAATTTGTCAGATCGTCTTCAAGCAGCGTTTTGGCCGATGCATTATGGAAATCTCAAAAATTGTGTTTTTTGAGGTAAATTTTTCATGAAAATATGTATTGGAAATTGCTGTTTATACTATGGTTTATAAGAAGATCTAATACCAAAACCCCCCAAAAGGGGTTAGGCATCTCAGAAAGCCATTGTTTTGTTTCTCAATCAACTTTTGGCTCGCTATGGTGCCTACAATCGTATATATACAAAAATATTTCTATCTTCTTTTAATATAGGTGAAGAATTTGATTGAACTCCATTTATATGCATTAATTATCTTAAAGATTTTGAAATTTAAGTTTTTTTTTTCTTTTGAAGTTTGGATTTTTATGGAGTTACTTTTATTAGTTGTTGCTATACAATTGTTATACGAAGTCACTTTTATTAATGAATATTGTGTTCAATACAGAGTTTTTTTTAATTAATGGAGCTATATGGAGTTATTTTTATTAATGAGGAGTCATTTAATAAAACCATAGAGTTATTTGTATTGAGGAAATCATCATATGAGTCACTTTTGTTAATGAATTTTGTGTTCAATACGGAGTCATTTTTATTAACGAAGCTATATGAAGTCATTTTTATTAACGAAGCTATGTGGAGTCATTTTTATTAACGAGAGAGGAGTCCATATAGAGTTATTTGTATTGAGGAAATCATCATGAGTCACTTTTGTTAATGAATTTTGTGTTTATTACGGAGTCATTTTTATTAACGAAGCTATATGGAGTCATTTTTATTAATGAGAGAGAACGAAACCATATAGAGTTATTTGTATTGAGGAAATCATCATATGAGTCACTTTTTTTAATAAAATTTGTGTTCAATACGGAGTCATTTTTATTAACAAAGCTATATAGAGTCATTTTTATTAATGAGGAGTCACTTAACGAAATCATATAGAGTTATTTGTATTAAGATAAAACGATGAGTCACTTAACGAAACCATATAGAGTTATTTGTAACAAGGATATCATCCTATGAGTCACTTTTATTAACGAAGTTATTCAGGGTTAGAGTCATTTTTATTAACGAGGAATCATTTGACGAAGCCATATAGAGTTATTTGTATTAAGAAAATCATTTGAGTCATTTTTATTAACGAGGAGTCATTTAACGAAACCATATAGAGTTATTTGTATTAAGGAAATCATCATATGAGTCATTTTTATTAGCGAAGTTACTCGGTATAGAGTCATTTTTAAAAAAACAACTCTATATAGTCATTTTTTGTTAGCCTTCATGGGTCATTTTCGATAGTGAATGAGATTTTTTTTAATGTAAATTCGAATTTAATCTAAATTCAAATATCACTTAATTTTGCATAGTCAACAAAAGTAGAAAAAGCTATAAAAATTGATTATAGAATTTAATAGAACAAGAAACAAGAGAAAAATTACAAATAATATTTTTATTTTTTATCAAAAAAAATCAAGCACAATTATTAACATGTATAGATTCACCAGCTTGAGCAGCCATAGCAAGTTCAAATTGTTTAATAGAAATTGATGGAAAAGAAATAATTTCAGGAGGATTTAAATTTTCCCATCCTTTGATTGGATTTATTGTTGTTGATCCATCCCATCCTATATGGGTTAAATGTTTCACATCTGTTGGATATCCTATTTCTATCTCCGCTTCCTCGACCTCTACCTCTTCTTTACGCGCTACAAAAAAAAATAAAATTAGGTTGTGAGTTAGAATTTTTAATTAGTTAATAGATAAATAACTTATAATAGATCTAATGTATGTTTATTGAACATCTCAATGTGACACTATGAAGGTTATATACAATTGGATGTTGAATCCATACTATTGATGTAAAATGCACTACTATCTCTAGTGTTCAATAGGCACATGTCGATCGTATATCAAGTGACTTATCAGCAAAAACTTCAGTTAAAATGTCGAAATAAAAATTCACAACTTTAATGAACCGTTTGTATATTTGACATATAGAATAAGATAGCTAATATGTATAATTGCTTACCAAATAATTGTGAGAAACCTTTGAAATGCCTTTTTAATCTTTGGACATTATGTGAAAATCTAGGTCTTGTGATGGCCCAAAATCCCCAAAAGCTCTTTATTTTTACATTTGATGAGCTCTCTTCTCCTTCTTGTCTTTCTTCAATAAGCCATATACACAAAAATTAAAGAAGCAATATTACAAAAAGAGAAAAAATCACAAACATATACAAAAAGGTACTTGACTAAGAACCACACACTAACACTTAAAAGGTCGTTATTGTTCTTTTATTCAGAACTCGTAAGATTAAATTCTAAGTCTAGCCTATGACTGTGAGGCACATTCGAAATAACATTTTTTATGTATATAAGTTTGAACAGAAGATACTAAGTTTTGACGAGATAGGAGTAAGGGGGGGGGGGGGGTTATAAAAGGGGAGAAAGACATACTTGTTATTTGTGATGAATTCTTTGTTTCCACAAGTTGGTTTGTCACTCCAACACTTGACTCAGAATTACACCCTAAATAGAATGGCAACATGAAAAATTTCTCTACTGATTTTTCCTTCATATTTCTTCCAATTAGCATATGAAATATGAAATCAATAGTGAATTATAATAGCATATAAATCACAAAGATTTATATAAATAGAAAGAAGAGTTATAATAATAATAATGAGATGTGTTAAGCAATTGGCTTAAATAAGAAGTTAGTATGATTTTAGTTATAGAAAATGTAAGACATACCCAATATTAAAGTAGGTTGGTGGCAATGTGGCATTAAATTAGAAATATTAAAAATGATGGAGTGGGTTAGAAACTTAATAAAGTGGATATAATATAGTTGGTTAAACTGTGCAACTCAACCCAATGTTAGTCCAATTTTTATGAAATAAAAACAAAAGCACACTAACCAAATCCTCCACCCCCATGAAGTGTTTGTGTGTATGTGGAGGGGTGGGGGTTTACATAGTTTTATACACGGTTGTATTATTTTTCGATATTTATTTTGGACTTCGATCAATATACAGTTTCACTTTGTAGGGGTAAAGCGTTACTTATCAAAACCGATTTTATACCAAAAGCGTGAATATAATTTTTTTCTGATTAAGAATGATGAAATAGTTATCGTTATGTAATAATTTATTTATAGTGACATATAACTTGTATGTTCTTTTTAAGTGAGTGATGTATGTATGCCACGTTAAAAAGGTTCCTAGAAGTATATGTATGTGGATAATAATTAGGATTTTGAGTTCGAATCGTGGACATGAAGTTATCTTATTGGGAAATGTCTTATTATTTAATGTGAAATTTTTCGATACGAATTTAAATTTAATAAGACTTTAAGATTAGTATTAAATATCGAGTGAAAAATTTATTCAGATTGGTTTAAGTGTAGCATTCTTAAGTGAACCTACTCATTCCCTACTCTTCCAATCACATTGCATGAGGAAGAGTAAATCCAAAGGGAATTTAAATATAAAATATCATTCAAATTGGCCACATGTATTTCTTCATTATCACAAAAAGTAAAAAAAAGTCAAAAGAATTTGGTGTACTTTTATTTGATAATTCCTCAACACCAGAAGTGGAATAGTGTTTAATTTATAAAAAAAAAAAAAAAAAAATCTGTTTTTTTTTTTCATTTTTGGATTTGGTCCAAGCTGACTTGCTCCTTTTAGGTAGGCCTTGTCTGACCATAAAATTATTGATATTTGCATCATTTTTTAAATTACTTGATATTTGAAGTTCATTAGATGAATCAAATTTGAGAAACTTTTACGTATTTGGCGATTTCAAATGTCTCAATGTTAATGATAACTCGTTATTTTGATGAATCATTTATTCAGACATAATGCCGTTAGTTAATTATTTGGTACTTGAAGCCGCTAAATGAAATAAACAAAATTTACACCATGAGGTTCATCTAAAGAGATAAATCGCGTTTTATAAAAAATAATAATTCATTAACATAACTCAAACTCGAAAACTTTGGTACCATATATATATATATTGGAATAACAAGGACATATATGTCATGATATACACTATATAGAAATTGAAGGGAAATACAAGTTGGAACTTTACTTTCAAACACATTAAACTGAATTCTCTCTATTCCTCTTCTTTCTTTCTTTGTTATCCAACAGTAGTTAAATAGACATCAGTAACCTATATATATTGAGGAAAAATATACAACTCGTAATCGCGATATCTTGTATGGAAACGAGTTATGTAACATCAGTACTACTACCAGTGTAGCCGATAACTGGCAGCTTGCATAATGGGGTGGAGGAAGTAAGCACCTAATGTCAATGTTGTTATCGATAAATATGGCAATCTGATAAATTCCTTGTAATAATCTTCAGGCAACTTTTGACGACCATCAAGAATGGCTGCAAATGGAATGATACTCGTTCTGTTCTTCACGACTTCAAAAGCCTCACCATATCGTATGGCTAACCTCCGGTCCCCATTCCAGGCACCAAACAGATGATGTCCTATCAAACCTACTGAAGCTGCCACTGCAACTGAATTCCCAATCCACAGCGTGTGAGCTAAGCACCATATAACCTGCCCGACCAGCTAATATAGGGAATGGAGGCTTCAATTAGCTATCAAAGACGGAATAACTTATACTAAGAAATGAGACAGCAAATAGAAGCAAGAATACTGGACTGTCGTGTAACATATATGCACAAAGACACTTATTTTCTCGATTTTCAGGACTTGAGATGATTTCTCTTTACTAAAATCCTCAATTATGGAACAGCTTTATCAATTTGGTAGGTTTCTTCCCTTTTATGTATTATTAGCAGAACTGGGATTACAATAACCTTCACCTCATTTCATGTACAGACTCGTTCTGCATCAACCTCTGCCCGTCATTTCTTGAGATATCATTCTTTGTGACATGCCTTATTCAACTCCTTCAGAGAAAACCATTGACCGATAAATCCACTTCTTGGTTCTAAGAATCAAAAGTGATTTATAATTTTGAGTATCTGACTGAAATACACGAAAAACCTAAAAAAGAAGAATTCCTGAACCCTACAGAAATAATGATTAGAAATCATGACTCTAAACCTCCTCTGTCATAGTACTTGCGTCATATCCTGGAAAATAGAAGAACCGGGGGTCTAATCTTCAGCTTGCTGAAGACATAATCCTAGGTAGGAGGGTATATGGTCAGTTTAGGGTAGAAGGGTATGAGATACCCGAGTGTCGTCGTTCTTTTATGTGGGAAAGGAAGGGGGCTAGTCTCCTCTTCTCATCTTCTCCTTTAATAGTACTTATTCTTCAACTTTTTCTAACACCTGTTGCCTCATTTGCTCTGTATATCTCAGTATTTTGTTGTCATTATTTTTCTTCCTATCTTATCTGCTTTGATTACACTTCTTTTGACCTGAGAGTCTATCGGAGACAACCTCTCTACCCCACAAAGGTAGGAGTAAGGTCAGCGTACGTACATCCTACCCTCCCAAGTGTCATATCCTGGAATTAAAATGTAATACGAGGTACAAAGCGAAGTGATTTGAATCAAACGTTGAAATTTAATTTGGAAAGAGATTTGAAAGTAAAGGTACGCATTGGTGTTTCGGGACAAGGCACATTATAAAATCATTCAGACTGTATCTTCTACAACGGTAGGTTACATTTAAGTGATAATTGAGCATTTACCTGTGGATGCCTGGTAATCCTCATAATCCCAGTTTCCCAAAGATGCATCTTGGGCTTGTCAACAGCCGCTACCTCTAGTAAATTGAATGTCGACGGGTATAGGAAGAAGAAGGAAACAAAGTTAGAAATCCAAACTAGTTCGTGAATCCCAGCAACACTGTTTAATTGCCATAACTGCACTCCATCGTATCGGTGGTTAATGAAATACACCTGTAAATCATCATAAGAACCTTCCGTTATGTTAAATTTCCATCTATCAAGCATCGCACCGTAAAATCAGAAAAGTTACCCAAAAAAATAAACAAAATTCTTAGTTTCTGCATGGCAGACTAGAAAACTCACAATTGTGCTGACTGCCAATGGCAGAGATACCCCAGCAAACAATACACGAAAAGCACGCTCTCCAATGAGTTCCTCACCTTTGTCTCTAAGACTAGCAAGACCACTGTGGACTATAGCGAAAATCAAGGTAAGGGAAAGCATTACAATCTGCATAGAAACATTTGGATAAACTCTCAGAAAGCAGAAATTTTGGTACGCGAAATGAAAAATTTATATAGTGTATGCTGGTTACCAAGATGGCAAAAGTGGACGTGAAATAACTAAGTGTACAAAGAAAGAAACAACAGGAAAGAAATCAAGACAATTTTATGTTGGCCAATATGATTCATCGAGAATCTAATGCATCTCTTGCATATTCATCGAGAATCTAATGCATCTCTTGCCTATTATCAAGCCAAGAAGAGTGACAGAATGAACCAGAACAAATAAATACTTTCCGAGCATTATCAAGGCTATATAGTCTTCATTGCAAGGCGAAGACATAATGTTATTCTACAGTTGCCCAAACATAAGTAACCTTGTTGGTTAACAACTTCAAATCGACCCTCCTTCGTTGGTTCTTGTTTGACTATTAGTTGGTATCTCATAGAGTTCTTTGATAAAACTATGCTAACAAAAGCTTCCCCTTGTAAAAGTCTTGAACGTAAACCAATTCCATAATTTCGTTTGAATTAACCAAAGTAACTACACAAGACTAACACCAAGTGACAAACAAACAAAGAAGAAAATAACAACATTGAAATCAATAAAAATAATTAACAAAATTATTGTGAATGGGAGTTTGCAGATAAAAGATTTTATCTATCTTTTTCTCATCTCCGTAACGCTTAAAAGCTTGATCCTACAAGCTCAATCCCCAAGTGCTGATTGATTAAACTAGTCCCTGATTTTTAATATACAGAGGCCCGGGATGACTGATGTTGCCACCTTTAATTTATATGCTAATCTACAACAACAACATAGGGTCTGGATTCTGGAGAGGGTACGATGTATGCACACCTTACCCCAACCTTTGCAGGATAGGGAGGTTGTTCCCAATAGAACCTCGGCTCAATTATATGCTAAAGCCTAGATAGCAGAACTTAAAAGTCTTAAGCCATATTTCATTGTAAACAAATTCATAAGACAACAATCAGTGGGTGATGTCGCACAAGGGTGTGAGTTAGCGTTCACTTAGACTAGAATGAAGACCAGGGTTTAAATCCCGACAGCGGCCAAAAACAAAGAAGCGTTTAATAATCTCTTCCTATTTGCCTAACGCTTAGTGGATAGAGTTACCTAAAACCTATATCGGTAAGAGAAAATAAGTAAAACCGGTAAAATAGTAAAGGTGTGCTGGAACACTACAATAAGAAAATATGCATATGAAAAATAACTAAATCTTTGTCAGAAGTGCTACAAGGAGAGCAAATGTGCTAGGAAGAAGTGGGAACTCCGTCCCGTTCCAGAAAACTACAAAAATTTTATAATCACTATACAATAAAGTTAAGAAACATAAAATAGAATAATGGAACACCAAAGTGAGTAATAATTCTCTTCTATTATTAACATACACATAGAATGCATATGTTTTAACTCTATACAAGTTTAAGCATCAACGTGTGCACGCCCAAAGTTTGAGGCACAGATATGCCAAGTTAAAGGACATATTTATGCGTTATACCTTTCACAAAAGATATCATTTTTTTTACTGTTCTAACAATTTATACAACTATTATTACCAAGTAAAGAACATAATCAAAAGCAATACCTCAAAACTCAATTCAGCAAAAGTAAATAAAAACAGAACAGAAAAAGTAATTAAGCAAAAATACTCACTTCAGGGCTATCTGAAATACTAGAAACAGAATCAATGAATGATTTTCCAAATCCAGTAGAATTGTCAATCCAAACAACATTAAGAACATAAAGCACAACACCAAGAACCCCAGCAAAATAAACCCAAGATGAAATCTTTTGTTTGGATAACTCAAATTCAGCAGAATCTTCACCCACCACCAAGATTTCATCTTTTTCATCTGTTTGTGTTCTTCCCACTGAAATTGGCCAAAATTCCTTTCTGGGGTTTGAGGGAAATGGAAAAAAGGAAGTGGGTAATGGTAAAAATGGAGTCTTGGTGGTGGGTTTGTTGGTGGAGTGATATGCTATGGCTATGGTTTGTTTAGGACTTGGAATTTTATGGTGTTTTGATAATAAATGAGAAAAAGGGTGTGAGAGAAAAATTGAAGTTGCCATTTTTACAAGATTATGTGAGCTCTAAGTGTGTAGTTTTGGTAAATATATAAACCTGTCTTGGCCAAGTTCTTAGTTTTTTTCAACAAATAAATAAAAATTGGGGGTAGAGTAACTAGAAAAGAGGATTCCGAGGTGGAAAATCAAATTACACGACATAAAAAAAATTATTTTGAGAAATCTTATTTGTTGCAAGTATTTTTAAAAGGAAATTATTTTTTTCATCTTTTCAAAAAAATAATTTTTTATGTTATTATTCAAAAACATTTAATTTTTTTTTTTTACAAACTGTGACCAAAACAAGTTTATTAGGCAAGGGGAAAAAGGTATCTTAAAGGAGTTGTGCTCTTTGGTGGGCATTTTGGATAACTAGTGGAGGAAAGTGGGCAAATGATACACTACTTGTAGCTAATTTTATTGTTTTTTCTTGGTTTGGGTCGGCAAAATAATGTTTACCTAATCATATATATATATATACACTTTTAAAGTAATGATAAAAATTTACTTGTATCAAGTGTTTACGTCTAATAAAAATAAATACATATATGATATGTATGTATAAATTCAATGTACCTATTCTCATTATAATAAAACACCTAAGTTCAATCAAGTGTTTACGTCTAATAAAAATAAATACATATATGATATGTATGTATAAATTCAATGTACCTATTCTCATTATAATAAAACACCTAAGTTCAATCAAGTGTTTACGTCTAATAAAAATAAATACATATATGATATGTATGTATAAATTCAATGTACCTATTCTCATTATAATAAAACACCTAAGTTCAATAAGTAAAATTGATTTGTCGTAAATATCCATTTGTTTGGGTGATACTGTATGCCAGCAATTTTAGAATTATTCGTCACTAACATTTATCGTTATCAACCTATTTTCATTTCATTAATCACTAAACCGCGTGAATACTAACATTTATCGTTATCAACCTATTTTCATTTCATTAATCACTAAACCGCGTGAATACGATACAAGTGATTTGAAAGTCGAGTCAAATCAACTAAGTTGTGAATAGTAAGTACAATCCCATAAATGGATACAATATAAAACCTCATTGTACATTTTTTTTCAACTTACAAGCACAAAACATTGATCGAAAAGATACACTATTCACTTGATTCTATATTCTACCAAGCATTGAAAGCACAAGGCTTTTCCAGCAGAGGAGGACTGACCAAATTACAATGACTTTTACCTGGATTCACAGCAAGAGAATAATAACACACCTAACATCAAATTTATACACTAGGATGTACACCATTGAAAAGGAAGGTTGTTTTCACAGGGGCTTTTGTGAAGCATAACTTGGGAGGTTGTTCTTGTGACCATTCTCTTCCATTGCTTGGATATGAATATGAGAACAGCAGAACAAGTCAGAACGACACATACCGTTCAACCTCAAAGAAAAATAGTACATAAATAGTAGAATCTAAAACAAGGGAGTTGAGCATGTAAATTCAGTTTAACCAACTAACCAAATGACACTAGATGACTCTGAACAGTACATGCTTTTCTTTTTACAACTTCTTACCACGTTCTCGGCAACAGGCCTAACCTGTAAGGGGAAGATGTATATAGTCTTCAGGAGTGGGTACTCTTAACAAAAAAACAACGTATCGATGCATTGAGATAGCTTCCAGTCTCTTTATAGCAAGTAAACCAAAGCTTATAATCCATTGGACAAGACAGAGCCAAAGGCATTTCACATTTTCTTTCCTTTTTTTTTTTTTTTTTTTTTTTTTGTAGTGTTGCTGAGAATCTACAAGCAGAAGGTTTAACATTTTAAACTTGTAAAGTTTTTAACATTTTAGAAATATAAAAAGTCAAGTCAGTACCTGTTTTCATTTACTACCAAATCCACAAAGAAGATGGAAAGACAACACTGAATCTAGTCAATATACCTTTGCTCTAGTAGTCGTCTCACGATCCATTAGGTATATGGATCAATGCCATCATGAAAATCGTCATCAACCTTGTGCATATGATGATTCCTCATGCATAGAATTCAAGCAATTCTGCTACTCTATAACATGAGTAAATAGGAAATTCAAGTAATTGTGTTACAAAAGTTACCACAGGGTTTCTTTCCTAACAAGATATTAGTCGGGGTGACTGAATACCATGCTTCTTCCTGGGCAACTCTATGTAATCTCCCTGTGGCAGTTTCAATTCAAATAGCAGCTTTGATGATACTATCAGTAAAGGAATCAAGTAATACAGATAACAGGTATGAGATAATATAGGAGAGGAACTAACCATGGCCGATGATCACTGAGAATCATGTATCTAGTTAAACCTGTTTATATCATTACAAAGTAAGTCATCTCCAAATTGAGTAACAAAATTTAGGAAATAATTTGCTCGGAAAAGATAATAGATAAAAAGTAACATCATAATGACAACGGTGTTCATTCTTATACAACTGAGTATCTGCCTGGTTGAGCCGAACCAGGAAGTGATGATGCTTGCATGGTAATGTCCTCCAGTACACGTTTTAACTCTGCTTTTGCTCTCTTGACAGATTGCTCGGTGGGGCCTTCGATGAACAAGTACAGCTTCCTTTCCCCAAACCCTGGTACCTTGCCAGGTGGAACATACTGTCCTCGAGTGGTGATGGCAGCTCCTGTCCATTCAGAAATAGGACCCAACGTCTCCTTGTGTGTAACCTTCCAACGAGCATTTTGAGGAAAATCATTAATCTCTAATTCTGCTTCATAATGTTCAGGCATTGCATCGGCCTGAATCTTTGCTAAGTTATGCTGCAAGTTCAAGGCAGCTGCCAATGCTGTTGCTCTGGCTGTCACATCATTAGAGCCAACTGATAGTCCATTTCCAACAGCAACTGCTGTTGCACCGGGTATATTAATACCAAGTACACCAGGCAATGCAACAGGTAATCCACCATTGGGAAGAAGGTGACCAGCTGAAACTGGAGTTGCTGCTGAAGCCATACTCGCTTTGGAAGCAGCAACAAGAGCAGCAGCCTGAGCAAGAGCAGCCTGCTGAGAGAGGTCACCACCTGCTTTTCTAATTCCTTCATCTTCATCCTCTGAATCTGATTTATCTTCCTCAAATCCATATTCCTTTGCCTGTGCTTTCTTGGCTGCTCTTCTCACTTCATCCTCTTCTTCATTAAATTTAAAACCACTACCACCATAACCAGTCCCATGTGCTTGCTCAAGTCCCTGATTAACCTTTGCCATGAAACTATCAGCAAGAGCTTTCAGGTCATCTGGAACAACTTGTTCCGACAATTGTAAAGCTTTTAGAAGATCAGGTGCATATCTTGCATCATCTTCAGATATGAATGTGATGGCACAACCTTTCTTACCAGCTCGACCAGTCCGCCCAACACGATGAACATAGTCCTCATAATGGTTTGGAACATCATAATTGATTACCAGTTCAAGCTCCTTGACATCTAAGCCCCTGGCTGCTATACTAGTAGCAATCAACAAATTACATACATTACTTTTAAAGTCGGATATGGTGGACTCACGATCAGTCTGATCCTTAGCCCCATGAAGGGAGAGACAGGGATAACCATGCTTGAGCAAATCTTTAAATAAAGCATCACATTTCTCCTGTGTGTGAACAAATATTAAAATTTTACCTTTTTCATACCATTCACCAAGTAACTCAAGAAGCCGGAGGAATCTATCACTTTCTGGCCTCACCTCAACCAATTGTGTTATATCCTTGTTCACAACACTCCTACCACCTACCTGTATTTCAACAGGCTTGTTCAACACTTTACGAGCTAGTATTTCAACCTGACGAGGAAAAGTTGCAGAGAACAGGACTGTTTGACGGTCTGGCCTGGTGTTTTGGACAATTCTTGTGATCTGAGGTTCAAATCCCATATCAAACATCCGATCAGCTTCATCCATGACCAAATATGTGACTCTTCGCAGATTTGTAATCTTCCCACCACTTGTACAGAGTATGTCAATCATCCTACCTGGAGTGCACACAACAATTTCGGCTCCTCGTTTCAATTCACTAATTTGTTGAGCAACACCAGAACCTCCATACACAGGTACACAGGTGAGACCCATCACTCTTGCAAACTTCTTAATATCACTATGAATTTGCTGTACAAGCTCTCTAGTAGGGGCCATTATTAGCCCAATAGGACCATCTCCAGACATCAGAGGAGGCTGGTCCTTAATATGTCTCAGCATTGGTAATACAAATGCCAGTGTTTTACCAGAACCCGTCTTAGCAATCCCAATACAATCTCGGCCACTCATAATTACTGGCAGAGCCTGAGCTTGAATAGACATGGGTTTCTCATAATTCAGTTTCTTAATAGTGTCTAGCATCTTGGAGGACAGTCCTGTCTGATGCCATGTTTTGATTGGTTTCGGAACATCCTTGCCATGGATCTTCAATTCCAGTTGTTTCCTGTAAGCAGAAACCTCTTCAGCACTGATTCTTGAAATCTCCTTAACTTCTATGTAGAAGTTCTTTCTGAAAGGAGGATATTCAATCTTCGAATGATCCACCAATGATAGTTTCTCCGCCTTGGTTTTCTTCACCCGTTTCATAAATTCTTCATCATCTTCTTCCTCCAAAGGATCTTCATCATTCTCAACGTTCCCATAATCTGAATCCGAATCTTCACCTGGGATAATTCTTCCCATGGTTTTCTTCATGCTCATCTTAGGCTTTTCTTCCTTCCTCGGACCATTTTTCTCTTTCATACTGGAATTTTCACCATCCAAACTATTGACTACGGATTTGTTAAGCTTCTCAACTTCAGGCAAAACCATATCGTTCATAAAAGCATCCAACGGGTCAATCTCATCATCGTCAACTAAACCATCACCGCCATTCTGAATAACAGGGGAATCAGATCCAATGCTAGAACTAACCACCTTGCCAGCTCCATTTTCGTCGTCCATGACCTTGCCAGTATCATCCCTATCAATATCCATGCCAGTTTTCCCCTCAGCATCTTCATCATCAGACTCACCATCCAATGTCCAAGTCTTGCCCAACTTAGGTTCTTCAGCACCTGCATCAACCCCAAGTGTCTCCCTCTCAGACTCCTCTTTTTTTCTTTTTAGCTCTTGCCATTCCTGAACTCTCCTCCTTCGCTTCTCCATCTCGTCATCTAATTTCCTTTGCTCCTCAGCTAGATCCTCTTCTCGACTCTTCTGATCCTTTTCAGCTGATACTTCATCGGTGCTCTCTTCCCTTAGCCTGTTGTTTGGTTTGCTACTCCTTTCACGATCCCTCTCCTTATGATGATCATCATTATCCCTCTTTCGCCTCTTTCTTTCACGATCCTTTGTATCAACTTCGTCATCACTCCCCTTTTCATATACTTCCCGGTGTCTATCCTTTTCGCGATTCCTCTCCTTCTCCCTTTCTCTCCTCTCTCTATCTCTCTTCCTCTCCCGTTCCCTCTCCTTCTCCCTTTCCCTCTCGCGTTCCCTCTCCTTCTCCCTTTCCCTCTCGCGTTCCCTCTCCTTCTCCCTTTCCCTCTCGCGTTCCCTCTCCTTCTCCCTTTCCCTCTCTTTCTCCCTCTCTCGTTCTTCACGGTCTTCCTTATCCTTTTCTCGCTCTTTAACTTTATCTCTAGGTCTTTCATCATCATCACGAACCTTGCTGCTCTTTTCACGCTCCTTATCTCCTCTACTGTGCCTATCCTTGTGCTTTGCTCTATCTCTATCTCTATCTCTATCAGCACTTTTCTCCCTTTCATACCGACTGCTTTTCTCTCTCTCTCGATCCTTCTTATCACGATGATGATGCTCTCTGTCCCTCTTCTCTCGATCTCGATCCTCCTTATCACGGTGCCGCTTCTTCGACTCGTCCTCTCTCTTCGACTTGTGCTTCAACTCTTCCATTTTGACAGTCGGAGCTTGGAAGACCAAAGCAAAACACCTCACCGTAAGCAACCGGAATCAGGTAACCGCCGGTACACTAGCTTATTCCGGCAAAATCCCCAATTATCTCCGGTGAAATCAACAATTATTTGAAACTGGTTTCCAAACCCTATTTTGATTTTCTTCGACTACTTTATATGGAGAGTGGAGTTAGATTTGGAGTGCAAAAATATAAAAAAACAAAATCAAATCCATTTTTTTTTAATTAATATTTAAAAATCAAATTTAGTTATAAAAAAAATAATTTTTTTTTATTATTAAGTAATGACAAAATTGATAGGTTATATAGATGAAAAACCAACTTAATTTATTTTCATAATATATATTTATTTGAAAAAATAAATCAACTTTACGATAAGGGTAAGATTTGAGATGAACGTATAGACTTTACTAGATGAATTAGATCACAAGTGAAAGATATATGTAACAAACTAAGAGTGGTCTTAGCGAAGGACAGAGTTACGAAATGTGAGATTGAAACGATTCGAGCATATAAAGAAGAGATGCACGAATGTCTCAGTGCGGATGTGTGAGATCAAGTATGTTGAGTATGGATGATTCGAGGAGGGAATAGAGATGGATGGGAGAAGTATCGGAGCGATGTCTTGTAAGTTATGCTTTCATTAAGCCGATTTTCGTCATCCCTAGCAATAAAAAGCACAAATTCAAGAAAAATAAGTTCTACAACGCAATCGCTTATGAAGATACTTTTTTGTTGCTATAACGAAATATTGTTATAGAAGACATACAATATACCATATAACATGAAAAGTCGTACCAAAAGCGAAATGTTGTAATAGAAAATGACTGTTCACAGAGAAGTCTAACTATACTAGTACTAGAAATAAGGCTCTATATGTAAGGCATTTTTCTTAAGGACACTGTACATGGTATACTAAGGACCAAAAACTGAGCCAAGTTTCAAAGTTCAACATGATTTCATCAGCCTATTTTCTCCGGTACATCGGCCCGCGGTGAAGAAACAAACCATCAGTAGGTCTATGTGAACAGATCAACATATACGGAAGAACGCCTTCGGTTGTATTGGAGCAAGCTTGCATATGTTCGATCCCAGATACCGATGTAAAGAGACTCATCGTCTGGACTCAGAGATACACCAGATATCTCGCCAAACATGTCAATTTCTTGACGTTTTCTGTACTCTCCTCCAGCATTGTAAATGTGGACAAAATCTGCAGGTTCAGCCACCACCAAGAACCGCCCATCTGATGAGTAACGGATTGATCGGACAGCACCCATGTTTCCTTTCAGCACTGCTGTTGGCGATGACAGGTTTCTCATGTCCCAAATTCGACAGGTTTTGTCTTGATTCCCAGTGGCAAAGGTACGGCCATCAGGGTGCCAGGCAGACGCGAAAGAATAGTCTAGATGACCAACAATTGAGCCAATCGTCTGATACAGTAAAGACCCTCGATTAGAACAGATTTAATCGGATCAGAAAATGGAGGACTTGCATGAAAAATAGAAGTGAAAATCATTGCAATTGATTCATAAATTCTTGCCGATATTAACCTCACTAAAAATGCAGTAAAGAAATGGACCGACAAATACGAGGCAACCACACGATGAGAAACTTTTCATTACATCTGATTTTAAAGGTAACGATTTAATACCTTTCCGTTTTGAGAATCAACAAGTAAGCCAGTGAGATCATCTCCAACAACAGTAAGAATCTTGCTATCTGGGCTCATTGAAGTATGCTGCATAAATGAAATTATGAATGCATGAGAGGTTCGATCTTCGAATAGTACTTAAAGACAGATGAATCTCAAATATCTTCTATTTTCACAAAAAATCCGAATTATTTACTAAGAAAAAAGTGTGTTCAGGCCTATGATGGGATGTCAATTACAACACCCTGCCTTCCGGCCATAAGAAATAAATGGTAAATGAAAGAACAAAAAGAGCAGTAAAAGGTAGATAAGAAACTGACGTTCACTGGCCAAGGGAACCGGAAGTAGTTCATAAGCTGAAATTTCTCCATGTCATACTCTCTCACACCACAATCATTATTAGCAGCCATAAAATGAAGCCCACCGCTGCAAAACAATTGAGACGTTTAATCAGTTGAATTTCAAACAAGTCCAACAACTCATATTATATTCATACTACCTCAAGCTATCATATATCTCGACAGCATTTGTAATAGCATTTTCCTCATATGTGGTCCTTGTGCAGAAGCTTATACCTGGCTTGTCCAAACACTGCATTATATAAAGGTAAGTTAAGTAAGGAATGACAAAAGGCGCATGCGGTATAAAGATTCAATTTCATTGAAATTTAATTAACCTAGTCTTGCTAGTCTTGAGCTATCAATAGATAGGAAGTTGTTGAAATAAAATGCTCATGAACAACAGCAGAAAAAACTTGAATACGCTTGCCAATAAGTTAACATGACGTATTGTGGAAACAGACCGAAGACCTGGGACTTCCACCTCCTCTCTTTAATTTCATGAATTTTCTCCGGAAACTTACTGTATTATATCTTCTTGATGAAACTCAAAACAAACCCAACTAACCTTACAAACTAGTTCCCCTTGAAAGCCCCCTGCGACAACAAAGCGATTCTTCACTGCCATTGTGCTGATCTGTGTTTGTGTTAGACCTTCTAACAAACTTCCTGCATGTTTCTAGAGGCCAAAGTAACAAAAAGAGCAGGTTAGACATAATCAATAAGGGAAGAAACGACAAATTAATATTGACATCTGATTGGAATCAAAGAAAACATCTTGACAAGCGGGGTGCTCGGATGGTAAGCACCCTCCACCTCCAACCCTGAGGGAGGGGTAAAAAGACAAAAAGGAAACATCTTGAAAACCCAAACTCAAGAGGGATAGATGGGTACTCTTTCAAATCCCACCGCAATGTTAACGGAAGAAATAATTCAACAAATACATACGTACACATAAGAGTCCTCTTCATGGAAACATGACACCAGCATGAAGAAGAAGAAGAAGAACTACAGGTACACTATAAACTAAAATACAAAAGGAAGGTCACTAAGTGTGTTCTGGATTACCTCTGACGGTGCTATATGTCCAGAGAAATCAAGGACTTCGGTTAAGTTGTTGGAAATGGATGACCAGTGCATAAGTGAGTAGTTCGATATAAGATACACATCATGTTTTGAAGTAGCCCAAACCAAGTTCCTTAGCTGTAAAACAAATGGCATAAAGAGATCATTAAAATTATGCTTTCAGCAAATGAAAATAAAAAATTATTTACGAGGCAAACACCACAGAATAATCCAAAATTTTCCGAAGAAATAAGCAGTTAAAAGATTCCTTTTTTATCAGTAACTGCAGTTAAGAAGTTAATCCAAAAGCATCAGACATGGGATGGAGAACCTCCGGCAGTAATTTCTTGTCTTGGCGCGCTCAGAATTCAAAAACCCATTCCATTTCCTTTACCAATCCCTAACTGAGGAGACTTACCTGATACACTAGGCATGTTTTTATGCATGCTTACTCATGTTTTCTTGTCATATTGAATGCTTGTAGAGCTAAAATTGATAGAGTATGCTCCCATTTTTAGGATGATAGTATACTTACTGGGAATTTGAAGGATATAAAGACACTAAGCTATTCATTATACTGTTGAGGAGGAAATCCTTCGAATTGTTAGATATTAATGAAAATGTTAATAGACCCCGTTTTTGTAAATAGAAAGGGCCCAGCTTTGTCAGGAGCATAATTTAAATAGTTACAGCATTTCGTGAGGAATGAAGATTGGTTAGGAGACGGAAAATCCTTGGTCTTTATTCCAGAAGATGAGTACAACATAGGGTGGAGAGATACAGCAGGGAGGATTTTGCAGTTCTTGGGTATACCTCCATCATTCAACGTCCCACAGAGGAGAAATTGCATCTAGAAGAAGCAAGTTAACAAGAATGGCTGAAACATGGGGTAGGCTCAGCAAAGCATATGTAAAAATCTATATTACATTACCTCTCCAAGAATACTGTTGTACCCGTGTGTGATCCTCAAAAAATGCACTTACTTTTGGAGGATCTAACACACCCCCAACAACATTTCTAAAGAGTCCGAGCAACACAGGTAAAAGTTAACCCAGCTGCAAGAAATAGCAGCTCCGAATTTCTCTCTAATTAATTGATTTACAACTTCATGATCCATTTAGTCCTCCTCCAAAACCGGAGGTGATACGAAAGGGTTCATTAATAGGTGGAAATTCGCAGCTGGACTCAGACTATTTGCATACTCTACAAAATAAATGCATACCTGAAAATGAAGTATGGTAGGCTTTACTAATCTTGTATTGTAAAAGAAGTCATAGAAGTTGCCACCTTTCTTCACCTGTTTGCATTCCTGAAAAAGCAATATAACATAGAAGAACCGCAAAGTTTATAACTATACTTTGGAAACACTGAATTAAAATCCTTAAAGAAATAAATGATGAAGCTACATACCTTATCTACAGCATCTCCAGACAAAGGTATGTTCTCATAATTCCTGTATTGTTCGAGCCTTGTCAATCTGTAACTTTGCCTTGTTATATTCAATCTCTCCCACGGGATACCTTGTATGTCTTTGCCTTTCCTTGCTTGTGCAGCGGATGTATCTGTCCCTTCTGTTACCTAACCAAAATTTTCTAAAAAAAGTGAATACACCATTGGATAGCTGACACCAACTGACCAAAGTAATCACATATTCATGCATTCACTTGATGTGTAGTTTCAATAATTCAAGGTAACTCAAGATACAGAATGAAATACAAAAAACTCATATCAGTACATAGAGAAAAACAGGTTGTGTCATTACTCCATCAAACAAATAGGAGAAATGAAGCCTAAAAGAAAAAAGAGTTAAATGACCATCATCGAATTCAATAAGAGCAATTAGTATTCACCGCGTGGCTGTTTACCAATAGATTACATCTTTAAGAGCTGGAAAGTTATATTTTTTCAACATAATGTTTGCACCAAAACAAGCATGTTCTCACTGGCCGCTGCAACAGATCAAATGATGTGGTCGCTTTTAACATGGCATCAAAATTCAAATCAGATAAAGGCCCTAGATTCATTTCTTGCTGACAAGCATTATCAAAGGAATTTTGACGCATTTGAACCAAAGAAAAACTGGTCAGGCC